AACAATAAAAGGAACATAATCAGGATTAGAAATATACATGAATGGATAAACATATCTATCTATATGCTACATTTAAAATGATAGTTTAAAGAAAATTGTTAAGGTTGTCAGAATTCAAAAGCTGAACTGGATACAGAAATTATGTACTTTGCAAAAGCCCAGTTTGGGTAAACAAATATCCTCAGTGACTGTTTCAAAAACATTGAAAACTGCATTGAAAATAACATTTAATAAAGATAAAGAAAATGGTCTATTCCAAAAATTAATCCAATTCAAAACTTCAAAATGTTTTCCAGAATTAGTTATGAATTTTTCAATCAATCAGTAAGCCAAAATTTAGTTTGCCTGGAAAAACCCACTTTGTGTATATAAGCTGTTCTTTAACTACTTGGCCGCCCACTATTTTTTTCTCAGATTTTCTGCTATATTTAGTGCACAAAACGGACACTGGTCAGGGAAAGTGGCAGCCCTTCAAAATCTTTTTTTGTCTTAATCACTGAACATGTTTCCCACGTGGTATGTACTATGCAATTCACCCCAATTATGTGGCATCATTACATTTTGTGGCATTTTCCATGGGGCTCATTAACACAGTATCTGAGTCTCTCAAATATTTTGTATTCATATTCACACCTACTCTGTGGGACCTTGTGTTAGGAAAGTGTTAAGTCTGGTCCAAAAAATGATGTACAAGAGGCAGAAAGGGGGTGTGGGGGAAGGAGGAAAGAGAGGGAGAGGAGATGGGGCAATGCTGGGAGAGGCAAACAAGCAAGCAATAAACCCACAGGAACAAAGGAGTCACAAAAGCTAATCCAGGTACTGCGATAAGAATCCATGGTTGGAAAAGATTTTCAAACTGCTTTAGAAAATGTGCAAAGCTGTCTACGTCTTTAGGGTAACTCAGTGATTGGATGCCCAATTCTAGACACTCAAGACTTGTTTTCGAAAACTTCCTAAAGCATCCACTGCTTCCATTGACTTATGTTTGAGTTGTGAGCCCTTAGGCAGATCCTGCTCAGGACTTCTGAGGTTGGACATTCAGAACATGGAGAGAGACCATTTGTAATCGTTTTTATTGAAGTGACAGGCCCAACATCTTACAAATCTGTAGCACAGTCAGAGACACAATCTGGTTCTTAATCTCAGTTGACTGCCTTACCCACCAGAGCGTTCTTTGCCTTAATCCCGGAGCACCTACTTTCTACACTAAATGGAGCAGGAGTTGCACAATGACCTTTGGTGCCTGACACTTTGAAAGCAGCAAACAGGCAGCAGCCAGGTGCCCGATGAGGGCAGCCGTTTCAGCCCGGGGATATAAACTGGGCTGCAGATTGCTGCAGGAAGGAAGGAGGAAACATCAGGCTGAGAGGCTGCTCCAGCCAGTCAGGAGGTAAAGGTAGGAGGTATGGGGAGGAGGTAACCCCTTGTCCTGGGTAAGATGTAAAACTGCACCCTGCTGGGGAAGGGTGGTCTGGTGGGGCTCCTAGTGGTGTGGGAGCCCCCACGAAATGCCAGGCCAGTTACCGCCCTGATGAATGGCAGGTCAGGGCACCTTATAACTCCAGCCCCCATCTCTGGTGGTGCTAGCAAGCAGGGAGAGTACAGGGCTTGGTCGAGGAGCCGTGAGGCAGAGCTTGGGCTAGAGGAGAGACCAGAGGCTACAGCCAGGTGGCAGAGGAAAGCTTGGGGGCATGAGTCAGGCCCCGTGTGAGAGGGGCGATGAGTAGAGCGGCCCATGAGTGTGGGTGAGTGAGGAGGCCCAGTCGGGGTATAGTGGTCTGGTGAGGGGCTAGGAGTGAAATAGGCCTACAGTCATACAATGGCTCGGTCAATACTGGAGTGAGGGTAGCAGGAGATACCCAATAGACTGTGCTGGGGCTGACCGAGGTGAGGAGACCTATGCCTGAAGCTGGGTGAGGCCGGGCAGCATGAGTGTGGCCCCTGAGAGAGGGCAGTATGAAAGAAGCTGGGTGAGAGCCAGTGGAGTGAGTGGGACCCTGGTGAGAGAGGAGTGGTATGTATGTGAGTGGGCCTCCGGGGCTGTAGAAAAGAGCTACAACTGTGTGCCCAGTTTGCTATGGCCATAGGCCGGAGAAGTAACACCTGCGAGGCATGGGATCTGTGGAGGGGAGGTCGGAGCAGGTATTAGGCCCTTGTCAGCAGGGTGAGAAATGGGTAGCCTCCCGCCTTAGTAACAGCTTTCATATTTTTCCATTAAGGTGTGGCAGACAAGTGAAGCGAGTGGTTACCCCAGGAGCAGGGCGGCTGGCGAAGACCTGATGAGGCAAGCCTGTTACAGACCTCATTTACTGTACAACCATAATACATTTCCTAAGCACCATTTATCTTAAGCACTGAATGAGATTATATCAAAGAAGAGAACATAACATCATCTCAGTATTATCAAAGATAGTTGATACATGTGCGCCTAGGAATCAACCAAGACTGTGGCCCCATTGTGCAGAGTGTACACAGACCTTTGTTACTTTTCCAAGCCCCTGAATCCAGCCAGGCTCCAAATGGAACATTTTATGTGCAAGAATCCCAAATGAAGCAATGAGACATGGTTGTCTCTGTTGTGGGGCATGTCGCCTTGTTAATGAAGATGTTACATAGCTTGAAAAAGAAAGGGAAACCTGCCTTCAAGCAAAAAAAAAAATCTTACATTAGTCCCAGTAAGGAAGCAGTGCCATGTAGAAGTATTGGAGCTTGCTCTAAGTTGTCTAGATACTGCAGAATGGATCTCTGCATGGACTAAGTTACCTCATGTGCAGCATAGACATATCCTACAGTAGAAAAGAATTGCCCTAGCTGAGAGATTAGCAAAACTGAGGTCATCATCTGGGTATGATGAAGAACCCTAAATGTAAAGAGACATCTGAGGACCATTAGATCATACCCTATGACCTCCTGTGTATCGCCGGCCATTGTATTTCACTGCCATATTTAACTCACTAGCTGTTTCTCTATTAATAACTAGCAGTAACTAGACTGATACTGTATTAATTTGTATTGATCCTAAATATAAACCAAGAGTTAATGACCCTAGGCACTGCACACATACATAACAATAAATTACCTGAATGCTGGCATTTTCTAATCTTTGCAACCTTAACAATGTCCTTTTGTAGATGATACACATATGATACACACTCAGTCCTGTTACACAGAGGAGCTGTGAGGAAGTGTGATGCTCAGTAAGCCCAGAATCTTTGGAGAGGGCTGTTGCTGAAAGTGAAGCCTTCTCTACTGAGCATCTGGGAACCGCAGCTTTTCAAAGGGTTGATTCTCACAGGGACAGCCAAATGCCACCCTGCTGCATTGGGCTGCTCCTTGCCAAATGTCTAGTCCCTGTTTCAAAGGCATGGAGGCACCAGACCTGTTTAAAAAAAGCCTAGCAGATTTCTTTCAAACATGGAAAAAAATGCCTCTCTCTCCAGCCTCCTTCTCAGAAAAAGCTCAATTATTTTGGGTGAAACATTCTAATAAAACACTCAGCCCCAGGCTAACACCTCACATGGAAAACGTCAGCCCAAGGGTTGAAGCATGGCAATGTTGGAAGTCCCTGCGTGTTCTGATCTTATGAACAGGTGCAGTGCTATGAGCCCCAGCAATAACACCCAGCATGAGAAACATACACGTGAACCTAGGGAAACCATGAGCTCTTGCCCAGGTTTTGGATAAGAGACAAGGCATGAGAAAAGGCACTTTGCTTCCAGAGGCACAAAAGACAGATAGATAAATATCTATATCTGTCTATCTATCTTTTCCAAGGTGACATCTATTTAGCTATCACCTTAGAAAAGATAAATATCTATAACTAGATATAGCTCTATATATGTATCTATCGATCTATATAACTGTCTATATCTATCTATATATATGTAGCTATCAATCGATTGATCAATCAGTACATATATAGGGATATATATAGATATATAGAGAGATATTTATCTTTTCCAAGGCCAAACCAGTTCCAAATTCAATTGGGCAAAGCCCAATAGCCAAGTTCCAAAATTCGGCTGAGTAGAGCTCTGTTGCCAAGTGTGTGTGGCATCCTCGCTCCCAGACCCCTCTTTCTGAGGCTTTGGATACATCCCAAATCCAGGCAGGCGTCCGACCTGCCAGCCCCAGGCCTGGATACCTTGATGCCCACTGTCTCCCTTGATCTTAGCCAAAGCCTCAAGGCACCTGGGCAGGCGCTGCATAGAAATCCACACGCAAATCCACCCGGGCTCCCATCCCCACGTTGTGCTAAATACTCCAACACAAATGACATCCGCCCACCAACTAATCGCAGCTCCCCCCACGGGACGTGGTTGGGTCTCTCACTGGGCAGCGCGCCCCCTTCCCCACCTTCCCCCCCAAGCCGAGAGGAGATCTCGCGAGACGAGAGGCGGGCGGCTTCTCTCTCCCCTTTGCTTCGCCGGCCGGAGGCTGCGTGCAGACAGTGGGTCTATTATGACGCCACAGAATGGAACGCTGCGGAGGGCGGGCGGAGCCACCGGGGCGGGGGGAGGGGAGGGGATGGGATGGGATGGGGCGCTGCAGCAGGAGACCCCCCCCTGCCCTAATGCAGTCCTTGCCCAAAGGGGCGCGAAGCAGGCAGCGGGCTCTGCCGAGGGGACTCGGTCTGCGGCACTAGCCTGCGCCTGTTGCCTTGCCCTGACTCCCACCGGTTGAATCCCGTGCCTCAAAAGCAGCGGGGACCCCAGGACACAGCCCTGAGCACCTCCCCTCGCGCCCTAGGGTGCTCCCATAAGGGGAGCGCGCTCCGCCGCTTCCCCGCCTGCGAGGCGGCGTCACTAGAGGGAGTCGTGGGACAGAGAGAGCGGCGGGGGGGGGGGGGCGG